TGAAATGTTCGTACCATTTTGGTCTTCAATGTTTTCACTGTCATTATTAATTTGACCATTCTAAGCTCTTGATCAAATTCCAATATTCCTTTGGAGAAGAATTACCCATCTCTTCAAGTTTATTTAGTATATTTTGTTTATAGTTTCTTTTCGTTTTCTTAACCATTTGTTTGTATTTCTTTTTCAGACTATAGCAGTTGTTTCTCAGATAATTATTGTATGGATCCGAACTTAATTTCCTGGATATTTTCTGGACATCTTTTTTAAGATTGCCAAGATCATTGGAGTACCATTTTGGTTTAATTTTTTGATGTTTTTTGTTTTTTCTAATAAAGTTTTTTTTTAAGACTTTTACCAGCTGCCTCATGGTAAATATATACATTTGTTTTCATAGTACATCGGCCAGTAAACACTGTCAAGTTTACCCTAGAACTTATTAAAACGAAGCAATCGACATCTTTCACCGCTGGTGGCGCACATGAATTTGAAACTCAACATTTATCCTTCAGTGTAAGCCCCCTATCGAGATATTATGCTTTGTTACCCTGGCAATTCCACGTTCACACATACAAATTAAAGAAATTAAGGCTCTATCAAGATTAATTAGAAGTGTATTTATTAAGTGGAAATGAAATAACTCATATATTTACTAAATTATAATTTGTGTAGCTTGTGCATCTTTATGAAGCAGTACTTGGTAACTTTGTTGATGGGTGATATACAAATTCCCCCATAATACATTGCTGTTTATAGTCAGGCTACAAAATAATCTACCCAACGATCACACATTAACCAACAGTCATCTAACAGAAAGCGGTGTGTCAGTGAAATTTAATAATTTAATATTTATTAGCATTTATATGTGTGCCAGTAAATCATATCTGAGAATGTCAAATACACCTCCTCATCTCCTGAAAATCTAGTCCAAACACTAGAATATATTGCATTTCACCATTGTAAGTACAAATGTAGTAGCTCAGGGAGTCCGTAGCTATAAAATACAATGTTATGTATTTCACCATAGTGAATACTAGCTTAAGAGGTCCATATACAGAGCATTTCACCATAGTCAATACTAGCTTTAGACGTCCATATACAAAGCATTTCACCATAGTCAATACTAGCTTAAGAGGTCCATATACAAAGCATTTCACCATAGTCAATACTAGCTT